GTAGGTTCGACCGACGTCACGTGCTCTATTCTGTTCATCTTCGGTGGTCAACCAGGGTCCCCCAGGTTTTGACCCACAGCCAAAGGCCATGCCCCGAAACCAAAGAGGAGGAACTGACCCACCATCCTTGAAGCGCTGAAAACCATGCCGGACTTACCCCTTTTCAGAAGGAACATGTTCTGACCCCCCAAAATGGTCCAGTTTTCGGAATCATGGAAGTGGATGGCATGGCAACGATAGGATTGCCATTTTTCTCTATATACACTAGACTAGTAGGTGGTTTTCACCTTTCATATATATATCCTTTCATGATATGGTTCGAGGGAGTGTCTGTCTGTCCGATGAAGTTGAACCATGGTGCCGGTGCTCCACTCTCGGCTCTCCTCGGCTCTGAGCCTGGAGGAGATTGAGGACACTTCGCTGGTGGCCAGCTGCAGCAAGCTCTCATGGCGAGCATTTCGTTGCTCGTTCATCCACATCAAAGACTGGCGGAGAAGAGAAAGGGATGAATGGGGTGGGGGCGCTGGGGGAGGAAGTTGATGCGCGACTCCTAAAGTCCGGATTCCATGGAAGCTGAAGGCATGGCCTTTGGGAAGAGCAGTTTCCTCCACAATCAGGGTGGGTTACACTCATGTCAGTGACTCGGAGCGTGTAAGATTCTGTTCCAACCCTAAAAGTCTCTATCTTCTTGCATTGCTTTGGTCTGATGCAACCTGCCATAGTCTCCACTCCACTGAATTGTATAACATTGTTTGTTTAATCCAAAAACGATGGAAAGAAAGTAGCCGTAGCTCAGGATTTCACGAACACTACCTTTCGATCTTCTTTGTAAACAACCATGCCACACGTCCCCGGGTCACCCGTTTTTCCCCCGTTCTTCTCGTCTCTTCTTCGACGTCCAGGCGGCCAAGGCGAAGGGGATGAGGAGAATGCCACAGAAGGCCGTGATGAAGGAGTTACCCAGGCGAGAGAACCAAGACCTAGCTCGGCAGCTGAATGGAACCGGCCACAAAACCGCTCTCGTGTACGTGACCGAAGGTACGGTCGGGTCGGGCGATGGGAACTGGACTGAGCCACACATGTGCTGCCACTCTCAGGTCTGGTGCTCCAAGGGCACGAACTACGGAGTGGTGGCAGCTTTGGGACTGAAGAGATCCATCTTCTTCACGAGCAGAGAATAGGGCCAGGGTCGGACTATGGTCGGACTGCAACTGAAAGATTTTTCTCGGTAGAGTAAAGCTTGTGGTTCGCAAACTTGGAAGTGACAGTAGCAGGTCAACATGGCAAGACTTCGCACAGGAAGAAAGAAATTGAAAAAACGTGCCAGGTTGCCTGACATGCATGCCAATGCGGGCAGCTGCCTATCAAAGCTACAACATCCGGCTAGTTACCAACAGCAAAAGCTATAGTGACAGCACTGTTGTGCACAGCAAGCAGCTCATTGGTCGTCTCTTCAATTGGCATTTGGGCCGTTGTTTGCTGGTAAAGGCTTGCGGCCTTAGATGGCGAACACGGCGGACGGCCGGGCTGACGAAGTTCGATTGAACAAAAAGCTCAAGCAGCAGCTGCCGCAGCTCGCAACCACTTGCGACATGTCCTAGCAGCTAGGACAGCTAGGAACCGAAAAAGGAACATGGACGTCGCCAACTCCCAAAGTCAGGTTTGGACCTGACCAAGTTGTGAAATGAAGGAAAACAGGCGACGAAGGCAGCGGCTGAGCTTATGGCTTGTTTACTCCATGTGGAAAAGCATGGACCCAACAGGTCAATGGCCTCTCAACAGGTTCAATTAATACTGTTGGTCTCAACAGGTGTTGCGAGCAACATGATGATGTTCCCTTGCTGGTGCTCATCTACTGCATTTGTTGTGTTCCTTCGGGGAAAAGCGGTTCGACAGGTTCAACAGGTTCCGCTCCCCTGAAACGGGACAGAAAACCACACAAAACTATCAAAAACTGATGTGCCAGCTCTGCCTTTGTTGGTGTCTTTTGAACTGGGCCAAACTGTTTCGTTGTTTGAGTTCGGCGAACTGTGTAGCCCAAGGACTTCAGGATGAAGAGAGAATTGCTTTGTCGCACTCTTCACACGTCGAAGTTGAAGCGGTTGCTCCTCATCCGACCGCCGAGGTTTTTTTGGCGAAGAGATCCGGGTCCCAAGGATGGGTAGGGCATGGTAGGGCTGCCCAATCAGTTCGCACCTCATGTGGGGTGTCACCCCCCCAATCCCCCCAAAGGATGTAAATGCGTATCCACTCTTGCTGGGTAGGGTGGTCTGACAGATGTTGAACCAGCGTATCCAAACCAAGCCATCCTGCCATTTGGCTGAGCTCCACAGAACCTATACATCCACCTGTGCCCCCCGCTATCGGAAACAGATCCAGCAAAGAAACCAAGGTCCAGTTGCTGTTCCCTGCGATGGTGTACTTCGTCAGTAAGAAAGAGTTAATGCCGAGTTATGCCCCATTGCCGGAGACGGAGTCCTTCAGAGAACCAGCAGTACCCCTCGGAATGTTCAAGGGCTCCCCAAACCTGTGCCTCGAAAAAGCTGCAAAGTGCACATAAAAAAACTTGATTCATCGGTCCTTGTCATAAAGTCCGTCCCCTGAAACGGTTCCCAGAAGGACGAAGAATGCCATCCAACAGGTCAGCGCCATTCTGACCTGGGCACGGTCACCCAACGGGGTGAAAACGGCGAACATGTTCACGGTCCCTGCGTGGAGCCGCGGTTTCAGAACTCTCACCGCTGCGTCGGTAGTCCGTCCCAACTTCCTGCCTCCAACGTAACCTCTGGTCCAAGGCAACTTGCAGAAGAATCGTACCGTGTATACAAGTAACAAGGGCATCGCTACAAGGAGCAAGAAGCTAATTAGGTTGGAGGCCATCGCTATTGGGTTGGAGGCCATTACCCATTACTATATATATATATTATACATACAGTACTAGGAACAAGAAGCTATACTGAGTCTCAAAAAACAGAACGTCCAATGCTTTTGCGTTGAAAGACCTACCATCCTGTCTGGACCATCCTGTGGGGTAGCACATGGATGTGCATTGGACGCCCAAACAGGACGGGCCATGCCGGACATTGCAAACCTACCTCGCCTCGACCCTATAGAGACCGCAGCTACGATCCGCAAAACATCCGCAGTACCACCGAATTGTGGTGCCATACGGGTCGATGGAAAACCTCACAGCGAGGTCGATGGATGTCGGTGGTCATCCCGCCCATAAGCTCCAGTCGTACCTTCTGACAGTGTTTGGGGTGGGCTTGGAGGGTCCAAATACCTTCTGCTACTTGGAGCCCTAGGGTATAGCATTTCCAGCAGGGATGTGCTTTCTCCGTTTTGTCGGACCACCCTGTCTCGGAGAACCCCCTCTAGTACCGGAGATATGGAACAGGCAGGAAAAAGAAATTACACATATAATGATAAAGAGGTTTTCAAGAAGTCCTTAGTTGACAAAAAAAGATGACAAAATAGTTGGAACTGAGTCGTGGATGGTCCTTTCTTCCAAAAGCTGACTCCACGGTCTTAAGGATCTCCAATCACTCGATCACTCGAACTCTGAGTCTCGGTCTCACCATGGACAGACCTTCCCTATTATTAGCCCCGGGCTGTTGAGTGATCGCTCCGATCTCGTCATACCAAGAGTGGTGCTGGCCCTGCCGCCTTCTGCCTTCCGATCTCTTCTACCCGCCGACTATTCCGCTGTACCGAGAATCGAACCCCACGTCGTATGGATCGAACACGAACACAACAAACACCTCTGAGGTCCCGCGCCAAAGGGTTTTTGGTTCACTAAGCGAAAGGAATGACCACGTTTCTGTGGAATGGGCAACACCCGCGGGATGGCCGAGTGATTCACAAGATCTCGCCGAGACGTTCACGGCTGCAGAGACAGCGTCGGGCGATTGAAATGGGGGGGACATGGGGGGCGATCTCTGAATGACGTGGACATGGAGCAACAAACAGGTGATGGTCAAATGTGATGTGAACTCTTATGATGGATATCTATGGATGGCAAACTGCTCAACCATGCTCAACCTTTAGACTCAACATTCTGCAAGATGATTAAAATGATCGAACAGGATCGAACAGAATCCGATGTTCAACGCATAAAAGCATCTACAGGTGTATAGACGACGTCAACCTGTGTATAAACGTCTACCTGTAGTTTTGTGGGGAGTAAAAAACAACCTCAATCCAACCGCACACCCCGTTGAAAGGAACGGTCATTCCACGGGTGCGTTGCTTTCTTCCACCGTAAGAACGGGACAAAGAGAGACGCGGGTGTTTATTTCAATAGGGAGACGCCTGGGAGGTCTGTGTTCTTCGTTCTTCCAGAGGGTCGGGAGGTCTCCCCATTTTAATACACTCATTCTCATGTGACATGTTAAACTCACTGCATCCGTGTGGTGACTGCAGCCTCATGCCCAGCTTCTCACGATAATCGTCGAGCATTTGGTGCACACTTGAGACCCCTGCCGCCTGCCCAGAAAAAAGAACAAGAACAAAACAACTCCAGGCCCTCACTATAATGGTGGAATGAGAGTATTTCCACCTCTGCAATGATGGAGGTTCCAAGAATTCTTCCTTTGGCTCTATAGCTGTAAAGGTCCAGGTGGCACAGGGTCCCACTTTCCGGCCAACTACCCAGCACACTGAAGGAGGTATCCAGCAAGGACATCCAGACAGGATGGTTCAGGTATCTGTTCGCATTTCATAAACTTCATTCTGTCCAGACACGTGCCAGATCCATGCCCATCGTGAGGGTCATCAGGTGTTTTTGTCCAAAGCAGCTATCTGAGCATGGGTCAAACAGGCTGCAAACGGACCTACACATATGGTCGAACCCATTTTGGCAGGAGATGGGGGTGTCTGATGTCTTGGAGCTTCCCGCCAGGGTTTGGATAGTTTGGAGCTCTTTCGCTCTTCTCATCCAAATATGAAGCCGGTTGAGATAGAAGCCTTCGCCGGACAAGCCACCGCTCTGCCAGGCGCACCTGCACCGGGCTCAGGACCTCGCTCCGCAGCTGCGCCAGGACCGTGCTCTTCGACGCCTGAACGGTGAAAGCAGCCAGCGGATCGACGCGAAAGCATTGCCTGAGAGTCCAAGTCATCATGACGCATTGTACCCCGAACTGGTAGTTCGTAGTGGTGGATGGATTGACTACCAGGTGGAGTAGTTCAGGTTCGTCATCAAAACGGAAGTTCTGGGATTGCGGGATGGATGGGGGGGGTTGGGAACCCCACATGCGGCCTGAGTTGTCTTCCGTGGGCTTGCATTGGTCGCGTGCAAGATCCTACGAACATAAATCAAATCGACTCATATGCGAATCTGGGTTCTAGACTGATTGGGCTGGCTTATGTTTTGGGAACCCCTCCCCCTTGGTGCTGTACTTAAACAAACAGTGCTTGTAAGAGCTAACAATTGAATTCTTTTGATTCTCATTAAGCCACCAGGCATGTCCTCAAGTCCAGGCATGTCTAAACCCGTCCAAACCGAAAAACACATGTTGACTTCCCGTCTGGTGAACCCCAGGAGCTCCCCCCCTTGCGGCCCACCAGGGCAGGGCCTCCCTTCGAACCAAACTGGTGACCTCTTGACTAGCTTGGTCAACTGTTTTTATCTCAGGGCCCTTCGAACCAGTGATGACCTGACTAGCTTGGTCAACCGTTTTGTTTAAAAAGCTCGGTCCTTTTTCCGGGATTCACCGGACCTCTAAGGGGCGACACAGTCTCTCTTCCCGGGTGCGCACTCGGACTGGTGACTGGTTCTCAGTCTTGGATGGATAGCAGACTCGTTCGAAGGAAAGAAGCGGAAAAGCAACATCAAATGGTCCAAGTATGCCATGATCAAACGTGAACGATCCACCTTGGAGCTTTGAATGATGTTTGCAATCTGCTTCGGCTCAACCAACCCTGGGAAGACCATCTGCCCCAGTGACGATCGCCTGCTTTGCCTTCATCTGGACCAGGCTGCTGCTGGTGATCTGCAGACGTGGAGGTCTTGCATGTTGCCCCAGTCACTGGATGGAACACATACCCTACAAGTCGAACCACAATCTATTTAATAGCCTGAATCCCGAACAACCATTGTTTTACGAATTACACGACTACAAAACGATTGTAAAAATTGTCAAACGGACTTCCAGTGCATAGCTGCGTCTTTTTGGTCGGGAAAGCGCCCCCGGTTCGGCCTGGAAGGGAAATAGACTGAGGGGGGTCCCGAGCCAAATCGATTACATGCCTTTTACTTTACTAGTAGCGTGGCACTTGTTTCTAATAGCTTCTTGTTACTACTAGTAAGGCACCTGCTACTACTAGTTAAGGCACTTGTTACTATTGTTCCTCGAGTTTCCGGAGCTTTGAAAGCAATCCACCAAAAGACGGGGTGTACTTTTGGGACCTGGACCCAGTCACAAGCCACATAGACGGAGACTGAAGATGGCAACAGGAACTATACTTAAACAACTTAAACTAAAACTACAGAATCGTTCGGTGCCAAAGGCTCACACCACTTCCTGTGATTCTTTGCCTCATTCTGAAACTCACCTCTTCTATCCCGACTCCCCCACTCAGTTTGGTAAACATTAGGATGAATCTAATCTCTAACCTATTCGAAAGCCTTCACCTCCACAGACCTCCACACCCTAGTTCGTGCCCTCGTATTCCATGAAAGCCCTGGCTGGGACCGGTTTCGGGAAGGTCCTACTGGGTCGTCGCCCGTGGCACCGGCCTCCGAGATGGCCTTGGCGGCCTCGCCAATGGCCACGAGCTCCTAAAACTGTCGAGCGAAGAATGGTGCATAGGAGGGAGAGCAAAGGAAAAGGAACTTAGAACAGTTTCTATCAGAATCCCATGGTGACCGGTTGTTTTTGCTGGATTTGGATCGTCATCCCCAGGGCGTTGGGGGGTCGGATTTGGGCAGAATCTGCCGCCTGAAACCGTCCATTGTTGGACGAGAGTTGGTGGAGATAAACGATTCACCTGCGTTTCCTGTCTGGTGACCAATGTCTGCAGTGTAGGGGCCCCCGTCCATTGGTCACCCCGAACGGAAGCAGCTGGTATTGGAGGATAGGGGTGCCCACTATCCACTCACTTAGGGACTTTGCGACTCCTGGTACTATGCTAAACGAAACTGCGGGCAAATTCATATCACTATTGCGTGTATGTATTGTGTTTTGAACCGGGTCGAGCCGTGTGAATATGGTCTGGGTGCAGCAAATATAATGTAAAAATGATGTTGATTCAACCCAAGGCAAATTATTGAGTATAAAAACATGCAGGTTGTTCAACCCTAAGGCCATTTCGGGGGGTACAAGCAAAACCCATTGCATGGTTGGAAACAAACCAAGTCCATGATGACCCATGTCTGATTACGTCGCTCTTGTCTGGTACGTTGATTGCACCACCAGGTCACACAGTCAGGGGAAGAAAAACACATGCAAACATATTCAGGGCATGGTCATGGCAAACAAACTGCAATGCGCCTGCTTGGTCTGGTTTTCCTCCTTTCGTACAGTGTCCACAGTGTCCACAGCCGCGACTTTCAGGACTCCCGAAACATGTTCAAGACGCGGACTCTGCACAGCCACAAGGGGAGTAGCCTTGAAATTCATTGGTTTGAATCTAGAAACCAGTCTGCCTTCTTGACCCGTGAAATATCATGGAAAAATGGTCCGATTGTTTGCGTGGAGAAGTCAAAGCAGGAACCCGGCCTATGATGGTAGTGAAATCAAATGATAGATGATTAAATTCCAAAGCTCAAGTTTTGTTCAACAACGACTTCTGCGCGAACCGTGCACAAAAATCTATCCGGAGATCTTGAAATACCAATCTATCCGGACCTCCAATTATTCATTCGTAGAGAACATCAACACATTGAACACTTCTTACCCCGTACACTTCGCATCCGGGAATTGAATACCCTCCGCACATGAAACAAGAAACACCCCCTGCATGGGGCCTCGCAGCTGCGCATGGTCACCCTGGCGTGCCGCGTCCGCGCAGCGTCTCGAACGACGCGCGCACCTCATCCCGCAGCTTTTGCCGATCTTCAAAGTCACCAGCCTCGTCTTCGCTCGGCCGCGGGTTTCGAGGCGGCGATCGACGTTAGTTACTCCGTGACAAGCGTCGAACAAAACTCAAGGTCCTCAGTTTCCGGGGTTTGCTTGAGACAATCGTGTTTTGTGACAGTGTCTTATTCACACTGCCCAGAAACAAGAATATGGTCGAATGCTCTTGGACAAAGAAATAGAGCAACCGTAGGTGTTGATCCGAAGGTGTAACAGTTTGTGGTTGGTGACCTCAGTACGAGTACCCTTTCAGAGCTGAACGACTCATTTCACGCCCAATGGTATTGGTGGGCACCACGTCGGTGGGGTCACATAGGTTCACCTGGTCAAACCCATAGGAACATACCGAACATGCAAATGCACCAACAGATCACAACAAAATCCAAACCCCCATGCATTCCACAAGGGCCGCAAACACCAAATATGCACATAAAACTTAAACACTTGAAACACTGAATTTTCACAGATCAAAACTGACAACCCACAAAGTATCTTTTCCCTTCTAGACCCTGCTAATCAAGCCCTCCGCGGTCTCTGAAATCCTCTACTGTTCACTGCGAGCCTTCTTCTTGCAAGTTGTTGTCAACTCTGCCAAGTACTCTTCGTCCTGGGCAGGCCGAGCAGTCTGGTTGATGGAAACACGCAGCCCCCCAAGAAGAAAGCGCCCTAAAACGAGCGCTGTTTTCCTGGATATCATTCACGCGAATGAATTCAATTCCGAAGGATAGGGCTGTAACTATGTTAAGAAGTGTCTCAATACAGAAAAATTGGGGACAAAATGCTCATTCAGCCCAGCACCCATGAGGAAGGGGCTATGTTTGTCATTATTTACCCAGAATGCTCATAACAAAAATTCAACTGAGGGTCAAACGGTCAGAACCTTGTTTTCCCCCTGAAACTGAAGGCAAAAGACCAGACAGACTCGTTTACTGCGAGTGGGAGTTCCCCTGGCCCTAATACATCAAAGAAGGCCTTGAACACAAAACATATTCATAACCAATGAGGCTATTGTTGCAACAATTGGAACAGTATTGACACAGTACCAATTGGGTGAGTAACGGCAGACTTGTCACCACTGGCAAGGGTGACTGGTTCGGACAAGGGTGACAAGGGTGACCATGAATTGATTTGCAACAATCGAACTAGTCGTTGTCAAGTTGCGCTGCCCCAGTCCCTCTCATCCACAGTGCGCTGCCCCATCCATAGCTGTCGGGTGAATTGTTGGACACCGTTGGACGAAACATATCACACAACCAATTGCGTTCATAATGGCTAAGGTGCACCACGCTGCAGTGGTTGGTCTCAAACAAAATGGCATCCGACGGTCCCAACACGCTTTCTGGGTGCCCAGGCCGTCTTTAGCCCAGCCTGGCAGCAGCGCAGCGGCCACGGCTTCAAATTTGGTTTAAATTCACAGTCACTCACATTCCCCAGGAGGGGTCGTGCAGGCCTTTCTATAGAGGCGTGCGGAAATAATTTTCGACTGGAAAGTCTTGCAGCCGGTTCTAGCTACAGAATGGAAGAACATGAGAAAATGGTTGTTACAAATTGATTGGTTACACATTTAGTGCGGACTGAATTGTTGCAATAGAGAAAGTGCTTGTTCGCTATACAATGATGCGCCGTAGGGTCGAAATTCATGTTGTTTCATCCATACAGATTGCAAGTGTTTCAACCAAAATATCTTACTATGATTGCTGAAATCTTGGAATTATTATAATTGACTGTCCCTTGGGGCCTTCCGGAACCGTTTTATACAGAATTGAAATGAACTTTGTATAGTGGCCTTAAGGTCTCTGAGTTTGTAATTGGAATCGGAAACACACTGATTCAACTGAACATTGTCCGGGCGATCTGTTTGAAAACACTTTCTACGATGGATCAAACACCCAATCATCCCTGCATGCATGGGTACCTGGTCAACACACTAAAACTGCAACCTGCAGTGGATTGTTTTTGAAGAGACCTTAGATCTCTGATATGACCCTGCGCAAACAAGTACTTGCGCCCATTTGCCGAGGTACTTTGAGATGCCAGGTGTAGAAGGGGAACCAGGTAGCAGGAAACAGGTTGAAGACCACGTTACATGAGTAGAATACCGATGCAAACCCGGATTCGTTACATTGTCGGTTTCCGTTTCCGCTTTGCTGTTCTACACATGTATGAACAGTCCGCAGGGTTTATACGAGTGGCTCGCTCTACCCAGGTTGCGAGTCCTCTGAGCTCTCGAAGGCACCTGCTGGTAATTCGCAAATACTTTTCTACAAGGACGCGCCCTCCAATACTACATGGCGTGAATTGACTTTGGGAGCCCATTGCTGGTCTAAAAGCAAGCATCACCCCCACAAAAATATAAAGCGCATTCTCCAACAGTAGGACGTTGACCCAAACTTTTTGTGTCTATAGCGCATGCTTTTAGAATCGACACCCAGCGCTATCCCGATCTGAATCGCCGTGGCGGGGCCGACTCCTATTGCTTCCCCATCTGTGGGACAAAAGAGTGAGGATCAGATTGGGAGTGAGGCCATTCTCTGCAAACATGTCAAGTTTCCCAAACGGACGGCGTGCGCCAGGCTCTGTTTTCCCACAATGGACGCTGGCATCGGCGATCCGCCACCTCCTCGCCAGCTTCACAAAGCATTCGGAGTTCAAGCTATATAGCCAGATAGCCACGTTCGCTATCGCCTTTTCAAATTTAAGCTGCTGCAAAAAAAGAATATATATATACACATGATTTGGAGGGTATCCTGTTGAGTGGCCAGTTGAGGGTTCCCCGAAAGCACCTGTCCCAGAACAACAAAACGTGCGCTAACGTCAGAACCAAGAACCCGGAAGGCCGGTCACGCGGCAGGCGTGTGTTGTGGGAGACCCTCCCCTGCTTTTATAGCCACCTTCGGACACGAGTTCTACTTGTCCCGGCTCCTGCGCCAAACTTGCTTCACGCCGCAAGCTCAAGCGTCTCCTCAGGCCCATGGTTGGTGTTCGACAAGTTGGTGCTCACAAACACACCAAACATGGGAACCGTCCGTCTCCCGTGAGCAACTCGAACAGCCATGAAAGACATCATAAATGACGGAAATGAAACGAAATGAAATGAAAACACGACACGCAACGAATTGACATAAAACGACGCGAAGCGGAACGAAACGGACGGAGTTTTTGAGTGAATGAGTGACTGACCGAACGGAACGAATTGATGAAAGGCACAAATGAACGAACGAACGAACGATCAGAACGGCGCGGAATGGAACGGAACGGAATGGAATGCAACGCAGCGCAGCGCAACGCAACGAAATGAAATAACGAACGAAATGAATGAAGCGGACGAACCAATATATGAAATGAATCCACGAACGAAAGCATGAACGACCGGTTGAACAAAATGGGCGAAACGAACCAAAAAAAGAAGAAAAGAACGAAACAACACGACATGACACGAAACGAAATGAAACGAACAAAAGAATGAACGAATGAACGAAAAATGAATTAAACAACTGTCATGAATGAACGAAAAATGAAATGAAAATTAATGAAGAAACGAAACGACATGAACTGAAACAAAACGAAAAGAAATGAAAAGACATGAAACGAAATGAAAGAATGAACGAATGAACGAGAAGGGCAGGGAAGGAAAGGTATGAACCATTTGCACGAAACCACAAAAAAGAAAAGGACACGACCAATGTAAGGGCAGGAAAGAAAAGGAATGATGTCATTGTGTGTGTACAGACGTGTATGTGTGCATTATACGCATTTGTTTGCAGGTGTGCAAGTTTGTTTGGACGCCTGCACGCGCGATGCACGCACATTTGCATGTTTTGCGCGAGCTTGCAAAACTTGAGCAAGGCCGAGTTTTGTATGTCATCACTTGTCTCCACACTGCGCAGTCTAAAAGAGAGCTTTCCGCTGTTGGGCCTCTAAAACGACCGCAGCAGATTGTAGATGAGCGCAACGCGGAATTGTTTCAGGTCTCCACATTAATTAAGTTTTTTAACCACCTGCCCAACATATCAAACACAAAGCCATTGCCATGCCTGGAGCGCTTCCCAGCCTTCTAGTCAAGGCGCAGCCCTTCTGCCCGCCTGTTTTCCCAAGAAGGAGGTGGAACTTGGAGAGATGGCAGGCGCAGGGCATCAGCTTCTTCATCCCTGTATTGTCTTCGTTTTGGCCTAATATGCTAGGGTCTAGTGGCAGCGGCTCCTCGATTTACTTTACTTTTTGGATGACGCGGCATTCCTTCCTCATTTTCAACTATCACGTCTGCCAAGTTCTGCGGCTTCAGGAAACCTGCAGCCTTCAGCTTAGCAGCTGCTTTCATGAGCTCGCGCGCGCTCTTCAGTCCTCCAACCAGCGCATATCCTGTCTTGCCCAAGGTTTGCCCAGACTTCTTCTTTGACTTGGGCGACAATAAACTCAGGGTAAGCTGTTCTCAAGTCACCTGACTGAAATCGGTAGGTCTTTGCAACATGTTGCAACCTTAAGCATTAACCTGCAGCAAATCTCAAGCCATGGAAACTTTTTGCTTGCTTTCAAGATATCAGCTCATAGTCGCCCTTTTAGGATATCAGCTCGTAGTCGCCCAGGTCTTTGAAAATCCACACACAATTCGACAAGGCCTCTTGAGAAGTAGACCGTCATAGGCCTTGACCAACCATGGCTTTCAACAGGACATGGGCCTCCCTTTCCAGCAGCACAATTTCCACTTTTTGCCATATTGAGGTCCTTTGTCCAGGCCAGGCAGCGCCGCAACAACATTGCCTTTGACCTTGAGAAACAGTTTGACTTCCACACGGATTTTCTTCTCCTGGGCCACGAGGCGCGCAAATTGCTGGGTTAAGTTCTTGACCGAAGTGACTGCAACCGAAATTGGTGCACCTTTTTTGCGCTGGGCAAGGCACTGGCGAAACTCCTATAGCTTAAGGGGCTTGCGCCGCAGCAGCTCTGCGCCATGGAGCTGCAGCAGCTCTCCTGCTCGGCGCATGCGAAAGAGACAGTGACCATGTGCATTACAATCTCGACAGGAACCAAGACTGCACGTTCCCCATTGCCCCACAAAATTTAAACTGCGCCACGCTGCGACTTTTTTGTTAGTCCGTCCCTGCTTGAGTCCCTGAAAAAAGCTCAATGGAAACTAAAAAATAACACCTGGAAACTGTGAAGGCAGGGGGAGGGTGGGCGGGGATGTGTGGTATACGGGTCGTACACGGACGGTATACGGTGGTATACGGGGGCCATGGCGGTACACGGATGGTATACGGCTGGTATACGGACGGTATACGGTGGTATACGGCTGGGCTCCTGGCATGGTATACGGATGGTATACGGACGGTATACGGTGGTATACGGGTGGCTTCCTGTAATTTCCTGATTTTTGTGGTCAAAAAGGTGCGAGTTATGCAGGACTGGGGGACCTGCATCGCCAGCACCTTGGGTGTAACTTGAAAAAAGTGAATTTGACATTTCACAATTTTTTCAAGTTTGATTTGTATGTCCTTTCTAAAGGCATCCGCAACCTTGCAGAACTACTTTATAATAACCTTCTTGCAAACGCAGAGCCAGGCCACCCCCAAATTTGAAGAGTGAGAAATACAATTTGGTTAAAAGTGAGATTTACCTTTACCGTGTGCATCACTGGCTTGGCTGCTATAGGTCATGTCTTCAAGCTTCAGTCGGTGCTCTGAAGAAACGAACCCGGGCAGGCTGTTTATTCACTTGTACACACTCCTTTATAGTGATGAGGTGAAATGAAATCTGATGCGGAAACCTGAAATGTGAACATTTCCTTTCATCCTGAAACGGTGAAAACCGCACTGGAAATGGCACGCCAAAAAAAAAGTTATGAACTGAGAAAGTTGGTTCAGCGGCGCAACTTTTGCCTATCAACCAACCAGAAAACCAAGAAGATAACTTCAAAATAAGTTCAAAATAACTTCCATTAAGTTAGGGGAAAAATATTGGAACAAATTCCTAAGTAACTTGTAACTATCTGCAGAAGTCTTCAGAAGTTACACTACTTCTAGTCTAGTTAGACAAGTTCTGAGCAACATATTGAATTTGCAAATAAGTTACAACCCACTTTTAAGTCCTCCTACTCCAAAGCACACCCAACTAGGGCATCCCTACATTCATACGGCTACACCGAACAAATGATTGAAACCCCTCGCTTCTTCAAAAAACATACAAACGATGAAAAATACCAAGGCCGAAAAATAGAAAATTAGAATACCACTAAGTGCCTCCAAATGCGCTGCGACCGCCCGAGTTTTCTCACGCGCGCGCGTGTGCATGTGGCATCATCTTACAAGCACCACCAAATGAACGTCATTCCCCCCACCACACCCCCCACAAACCTTCACCAATCTTCCAAGGCGGACGCATTGGCATCATCTTACGAGAGCGCCGAACGCACCGCAAAAGCCACTATGTAATATCACCCTGTCTCTGAAAACATGTGTCCAAGCTTGCGTTGAAGCATCGTGAAAAACAGGGACTTGATGGCTACTGCTCTGGCTCTGGCACCATCCAAACACGCCGGAGTTTACATCCAGCATTCCAAAATCAAACCACTCATCTGGGTTTGGTACGGGTCACAACGCACTGTGTCTTTGGAGCCACCAACAAACAGCGGCGTTGCTTGTATGACTCACACTACCACGTTCCAACAAATTCTACGCAGTGGGGCGACCAGACCCAGTGCAAGTCAACATCTGAAGAGTTATTATGGTGTTTCCTGGACTGTTTCCTCGTTTTGAGTTGTGTTCGAAAGCGTCTACTGGCAAAGAGTAAAAACAACGCACAGGGAAACATGAGAGGGGCAAATATCACTTCCACTGACTAACCTCAACGCCCTTGCTTCAGTGTATCTTTGCACAGATATTGGAAGAGTGAACCTACAGTCCAAAATCTCAACATGTACAAGGTCTCTATCATATATGGTGCTTTAAAGTCTTTCCACTTCTGGGTTCCAACAACTCCGACAGTTCGCGTCGCTTCGGATGCTGGGCCGGCCCCGCCGCATGAAATCCATCTCCAGCCGAACCTTGGCGCAGAAGCCAGTGGGGGGCAGTGCTCAGGTAGGCTTGGAAGCCGCCACAAACCAAACGGATCAGGTCAAACGATTGAAAGGGCCCGATGCCTGCGCAGATGTTGGCGGCAGCTCCCGTATACTCTGGCAGTCTTTTGACTGCCCTACTTATAAGTTGAATTCAACCAAACCAGGTCATATCAACTGTGCCAAATGAGGTCTCTGGGGCGGCTGGAATGTAGGGCAGTTCCCAACGAGACAAACAGTTTGCTTTTGGTTAGACAATTTCCATCGTATCTCCTAGCGGCCGACCGTCTCCCCGCAAGGTAACGACTATCTGTCTAGTTTCGTGCTATTCAAAGCTGTTTCGTTAATCGCGCGCTGATGGATGCCTTCATGAAACGAACTGACCGGGCACTCATGACCTCTTGCTCAATGGAGGCGAAATCTGACAGAAGAGCTGCCCATTAACTTGTTGAACCGCGAGCTGTAGTCGCTGACTATAGATAAAGCCTGCTAGCAACTGAAACCTTTCAAGAGACGCGTTGAATTAAGCGCCTGGTCTTCCCGCAGCCTCGTTCCGAGGGCGCTGCTGACTTGATGCGAAAATAACCTTTGGAATTCGCTCAAGTTCTGTCCTCCAGAGCGAAATGCTCACGATGATGCAATTTCAATTTGACAGAGAAATTTCCAGGTGGCGCAAACACATGGCAAAACGTCAGACGTAGCTGACAAAACAAGCTTCGTACGAAGTAATGATAAATCTATATATTTCGGGGGAGGTCGCAACGTGGGGGATTGTTTTCGTTCTTCGCGCCAAAGCCCGGAGAAGGACGATGGTGGTGTCGAATCAAGATGTATATTTGGGTCAAGTATAATAGGTGTCACCACAAGCTTTTTCGTGAGCAGCTTGGTGTCTGACAAACAAGTCCGGCGTTCGCGGGTCTACGAAATATGCGCCCACGGCAGCAGCAAAACCACCAAGACCCGCGCTTGCCAAACACACGGACAACCATGAAGACGTCTCCCCGTGGCGTGTCTCTCCGAGAGACTTGCTATCCAGCTATAGGGTCGCTGTCTCAACGATATCAACACCCCAACACCCGCCATATTTTCGATTCTGGACTTCTTCCTTATTGCATCCATACTCACCAAGCTCTTGTTCAGCTAAGCCTCCACACTGTCACAGCACAGTGATGGTTCCCACCGAGAAGGCAAAGCCTGAAGTCCCATCGCAATTGTCTTCATCATGCATTATCATCACCATCAGGAAAGCCTCTCCCTACGCTTCCAGGAGAACCTTATGTTGTGAGCATTGGGCATCATGGGGGGCATTCCTCAAACACATGTAGACAAAGAGTCCTCTGGTCCAGTCAGAGAACCAATGCCAAAATTCACCTTGCTGAGTCAACACCCCAAGCAATTTGCGACCTTAAAGGCAAAACCCACGCCAACACGTTAATATTCACTGCCGCGACACGTGCATGTGGCATCCAACTGCTGGAGGCTTCTTTTTCGCCACAATTCCTGAAGCCAAGAGTCCACTGCTTACTGTCATTTTCAGTCAGAAGTTCTGGCTTGCCATCCCTGTTCCGAAGTTCCGTTTGCTTGCGTCATTTGTCTCTTGCAGGCAACGCCTACCAAGTCTTCATAACCTTGCCATCTTGGCGAAAGACCGCATTGCGCAAAGCAATAGTAAGTGACACAAGGGTGAGAAGTCAGAAAGAAAACAGAAAATCAACCCAAGTATAAGCACACTTGGAAAATTACGTGAGAAAGGAGCGGATGGAAAGAAAGAAAAAAAGAAAGAAAAGAAAAGAAAAGAACAAAACAAGAAAAAAGAAAGAACGATGTTGAGCGGCGCGCTAAAACTTTATCCACTCAACCCTGGCCTGCTCAGCAACAATTTCGTATCAAACCAACTTGGGCGACAAGTTACAACAGTTAACGCTTTCAATGAGGACAAGCAACACTAAATATAAGCAACTTTAAGCTACTGTGATAAGTATGCCTGCCACATCGATTCAGGCCAGTCTTTGCCTACCAAGCACACCCGCCCTGAGAAGAAAGTTGTCGCAAGCTAAGGAAAAACAAACCTGCCAAGCAAATGCGCAAAAACGGATCTTGGAAAGTAATCAAATAATAAAATTGGTGTCCGCGATTTACGCCTGAATGCTCTGGCCTTACTCAACGCCAGAAAAAAACAAAACGCAAAAACAAAACGCAACATGTTTCATCGTATCTGCAAGAACTCCGACAAAAGCCCGTCGACTGCGCAGGCAAAACGTAAGCTGGGAGGTATCATTGAGACGATCTTTGAAGTCAAAAAAGTGGTGGAGGGTTTGAACGCGTGAGGCATTGAGGCGTTTTGCTTGACAATGTCTGTCTGGAGTTTTCGCAGCGCACGTTGAGTTGTTATTGCGCACGTTCTAGGGCACACAGGCTGGCTAAATCAAAAGCTTGCAAGCAAAGCACACGCCCCCAAAAATAGAAACATGTGACGCGCGCACGCTGTATTCCCACAACGTTTCACGCGTAGGTCTTGCATACACTGTGCGTCTTCGAGTTTACACTGAGGGGGGCCTTCTGCTGGGCAAAGCATTGTGAACTTGTGCAAATCTAGTGGCCAAAGATCAAGCCAAAACACATATAGTGATGACTTCACTGCTTGCAGGACTGTCGCACGCGCAGTTCTTCTTGCAGCATACAATATTGCGCCCAATCTACACACCAGCGCCAAATTCTTCACCGTTGAAAGATTGGGAGTTGGGAGTTGCTCATGGGGCATAAAAGCCAAGTCATTAGCTCGAATACCAAAGCACCAACAAAGCAATCAGTATAAGCAAACAGTACGCGCACTATATTGAATCCCTACAACGCAAAGTGGACACCTAAACCTTTGCAAGAATGATCAAACTGCAGACGAATGCAACTGTGGGCCGTGTACAGAGCCTGTAGCTTTATTTACCCTATGCCTATGCCCCTATGCGAAACGTTCAGTGCAATTTCGGGACTGGAGTGTGGTGCTCGCAATGAATGGGCTCTTGCGGTCTCTACAAAGTACCCTTGCCAGTTCATATGCTTGGCTTGCCTACCACCAGCGCACAAGAGCACAATTTTGGACTTTCTTTGATGTAGCAAATGCAATGACCAACGTATGTTCAAGGGCCTTAAAGGCTTTCCGATGCCGCAAAGAAAGCAAATAAATTCTGTGTAAGGGCCAGGAACCCAACAAGCCAAGAATGATTCGATCACGCTCTCAGAGCAAACCCCAAAAGAGGGGGGCGGGGTCAAGCCCAACAAGATCGCACATCAGGCGCAGCATGAAGAGAAATGACAGTTAAATTTAAGATGGACGCCTGCCCCAACTGCATCCCATTCTCCACAAATGGTGGTTTCACGCACAGCTCCAGGAGCTTACGAATTTCAAAGTTGCTAAACAAGCTTCAATGTCCCACCTCTGTTGTTCCTGAACAAATGAGTCGATTGTCTATCCCTTTACCCGCAACTCCAACAAACCAGCTCTCCTGTGGAGAGCCAACGCCAAAGCCTTCTTTGCAGCTCAAACCGTGCGCGTGTGTGGTTCTGCCCTTGCTCACCTCATCATCACACAGCAACTCAGACTCAGTGTGCCTCTGTCCTTGCTCACATCTCAACTCAGTCTGCTCTGTCCTTGCCCACCCTATCCATCACACACTTCAACTCAGTCTTCGTGTGTCTATTCGCCCTCTCACCTCAGCTTGCGCACCAGAATAGTTCGCAGTTGGCGCTCGCGTTTTGATCAAATGCAATTCCGTGCAAATGGGACCGGTTGCGGTGTCATCTAGCAGAAGCCAGTCGGCAGGAGCAACTACCAGTAAACGTTCGAGGGGCCATGTACTCGCACAGCTCTGCTGGCAGCACAGCAGGGAGGATGCGGCCGCAAAAAGGAAGGAAAGCTTCGGAAGAGCAGCAGAGTGGTAGCTGTGGAGTAACCATATAGTCGTGGTAATAGTGATGGTGGCTGCGCCAGCAGGACTGTGTACAAGTACAAGGTATTTAGGAGCGCACACGAATTGCAAAAATGATTAGTTCACTGTTTAAAGCAAATCAACACTTGTGAGTTGGAAGATGTCCTTAAAGTAGTAGTAGTAGTAGTAGTAGTAGAAGCAGCAGGCTGCGACAGCAATAGTATAAGTGGCAGTCTTAATGAATACTAGCGGCTTCAGCGAGCAGTAAAATTGACCTCGAAACGCAAATATCACCTGAAGTTGTAGTAGAAGAGACAGGAGCAAAAAGCAATAGAAGTAGTAGTCGTAGTTATGGTAGTGGTAGTAGTGGTAGTAGCAGCAGCAGTAGCAGTAGGAGTAGTAGGAGTAGGAGTAGCAGTAGTAGTAGCAGTAGCACTGCTTGGCAACAATAGTACAAGCAAAGAAGTAGAAAAGCTAGTCAGTGGTGCAAATAGTACTAATCAGCACAGGCCAGAAGAACCAACATGGAAACAGCAACAACGGTAGGTTGCTGTACGCATGCGAACTACTAGTAAACTCTGAACAATACTATATAGTATAGTCTAGTAGGCACAGGGGCGTGACCGTGGACAAATGAGGCCTACATGACAGGAACAGGAGGAGGGATCCCCTTTCAAGGCTCAAACTCGCTTGAATTCATGAAACACTGTAACAAGCCTTCCGTCATCTCAGCTCCACGCGTTCCGCTAACAATGACTTGGGCTCAGTCATGATCAGCACCGTCAAGCCTCGCACCGCACAGCTTTGTGTGGGACTGTCAACAGGGGGACATGAGCAACAGTGAGTGAGCGCGTACCTGTTGAGCAAACATCTACCAAACCGCAGCCAAAAATCAAACTGCGCTACGCGCAGAAGCATGGTGCGCTATGGTCAAAGATCGTTGCGTGGCCTGTTCTTGCCATATCGTTGCGCAGGATTTGGGCGCGCAGCTATTATATCCACGATCTTTCGAGGCACAGGGCAGGGACCCAGCCATAGTCTCTCAATCTTTGCACATACCTTGACGCGCTGGGCCCTATAGTTCGGAGGTCCTTCCGATTATCGTTCGAGGCACGCTCACGCACGGCCACAGCTCAAGAAGCACGATCGCAAGAAGAAGCTGTCGCGCGTTTGCCAACCCCTTTTGTTGCAGTGCACTGAGCAATTCCGGCGCGGCAATATGAGCGATTAAACTATACTGGTTAAAAGCTTTCCTCATGTGGTAACAAAATGTGAAAACGACGGTCTGGTTTGAGAGAGGGCCAATGGCCTGGTGAAGTTCAATCAGCACCAAGTTTTCCTCGTATCCTGAAATGAAATATCTATTTCCAGTCTTCGCCTGCCACTCCCACTGCAGAAGCTGCGCAGGCCCTGCGCGCAGACACGAATCAGGCAACTTGTTCAACTCGTCTGTTCTAAATGAAACCTTTCACATCGCCAAGATGATGAAGGTTAGCGATTGAACCAAAACCAGCGGCTTCTGAACGCCAACATGATCTTGAAGCACCCTAAAGGGCAAGGTTCTACGACAATCATATTCAAGCCTATACCAGCCCCTCCTTGACCAACAACTCTGCGAAGCAGCCAAAAGGGAAGGTCAAGCTACAATCATGGCTGCTGGTGAGGTGCCTAATGCCGCTGCCTGTGAAGTGAGGCTGTTTCATGATTCATTGATGTGAAATTGCCTTCCCTGCCAGATAGCGGAAACTAGCTCTCCGATGGGCTCACACAAGTCCAACCACCACCAAACGATGAACAACACCAAACTGTCATGCATTGTCATGCACTTACACATGCCCCTTCTCGCGCGAGCCAGAGCCCAGCACAGTGGAGAAATGACAGTCAGTCAGACTTGAGGCCGAGGGTAGGTGACGAAAGCTAGCAGGGGTGCATCCGGACTGGTGGGACATCAAGCGGAGTGAGGCAAATGCTCATGAGGTAAAACGTTGTGAACATGTAAGACACACAAACAGCAATGACACAGCCAACCTTCGAATTGAAGTCCCCGACAATTAAGGAAGCGTGGCTGGACTTTGCCGCACTGTTCGATGCATCCGATGTGTTCACGAACCTGTGAGCTTGTTGAATCTGTTGCACCGTATCCCAAAACCTCCACGGAGGAGTTGAACCAGTGATGCCATAAGAGGTGCCCAAGAGGTGTCCCAGAGGCAAAACAAAGCTGCTTGCATGATTTGTTTGGTTTCTTCTATCGATGTCGATGTCATGAACATGTGAGCTTGTTGAATCTGTTGCACCGTATCCCGGAGGAGTTAAGCCAAAGTGGATGCCATAAGAGATGCCCGAGAGGTGTCCCAGAGGCGTCCGAGGGGGGAGTTGAACCCACGGGGGGGGGG